AAGGTGTTTGGAGCTTTGGGTCTGGGTTTCAAGCCAAAGAGACAAAGGTGGCCCCCAGCGCTTTCTCCCGCTCTGGGTCCTTGTTGGACATCGGTCGCCCTTGACAGGCATCGGCTCGCAGACCCCACCCAAGGGGGGGTGAGTGTGAGTGCCGCTGCTTACAGACGGAAGTCCCCAGGCGTCGGGCAGCGTGCCCAAGGTCGCAGAGCTGGCAGCTGGCAGAGCCCTGCTTAACCCAGGCGAGGGGCCCTAGTGCCCCAGTGCCAGGGCAGGGGGCTCTGACTTGCCTGGGGGGAGGGGCGAGGGACAGCCGTGCTCAAGGAAGCAATGCAGGGGCAGGAGCTGAGGGCCAGGTCGCCAGCAGGACCCACAGCGATGAGTGGCCGGGCCCAGGTGGCAGTGAGGATGGACCGGGAAGAGAGGGCGGCCCAGAGGCAAGGCCAGGGCACAAGAGGCAGGAAAGGTGGGCCTGGGGTGAGGGCAGCTGCTTCCTGCTGCAGACTCCCCAGCTGACGGTCCAGGCCAGGGCTCTGCCCAGAGGGCCCTGTGAGTGACAGGCTGGCCTGGGGAGGGAGGACCTGGGCCTCTGCCCAGGGACTCGCGTGGGATGGGAGGGTCTGCGCAGACGCAGGGGAGAGGGCTGGGGCCCCAGCTGCAGGCGGTGTCTGGGAGCCATGTCCTCACGGGCGCAGCGTGGAGGGGGCCAGCTTGGTGTCCAGGGCCCTCTGGGAGCTGGGCTGGGGGGTGGGGCCGCCTCAAAGCTGCCATTGTCGCCTGCTGCCCAGCCTGACTGTCTGGGGTCTAAAATAGAACAGGGGCACAGCTGATCTCGTGAGAAGCTTCTGGCTAAGGGGCCGGGGTGGGGGTGGGGAGTGGAGTGAGTCACCGCTGGGAACCTTGGAGTTTGAAGCTCCCGGTAGCTCTGCGGCCCTGCCCCCACCCCCAGGGAGCCTGGAATCCGCGGGGAGCGCTGGGTCCTGCTCCCAGGGCGGGGTGGGAAGATGGACGGAGTCCTGGCCTCAGCTCCGCCCTAGGGGTCAATCCGCCAAGTCCTGTTGTGCCAGGGCTGTGAGGGCCCTGGAGCTCCGGGCAGGTGGCCCTAATATAGACCCGCCCCCAGTGGGAAAGACTGATGAAGTCCCAGCTCCGCACCTCTGAAGTGCACACAGTGAAACCACTTCAGCCAGGGCCTGGCTCCACCCCCCCAGAGGGCACACGTGCGCGAACACGTGGCACACCCCCACTTTCAAGTTATCTATTGTCACTCTTTGATTTCTTCATTTTATTTATCTGAGACAGTCAGAGGTGGACAGACAGGTCTTCCCTTCGTGGGTCCACTCCCCTAATGCCCGCAAGGGCTGAGCCCAGGAGGAAGTCAGAAGCCCGGAATTTGCTCCGGGTCTCCGCCGTGGGTGGCAGGGGCCCAAGCACCTGCGCCGTCACCTGCTGCCCGCTCAGAGCTCAGCAGCAGGACGCTGGAGTCGCTAGCAGAGGGGACCTCCGCGACCCCAGGCCTTTCTCCCCTTCTTACCGCCCTGCCTCGGCTGCCCCCGCCCGGACAAGAAGGATCTTGGCGGCCAGGGGTCGGACCTTATGTTTGGTTCAGCCCTGCAGTCCTGGTGGGCAGGGCTGTCACTCTGTCCCGACCGGGTCTGCGGAGCCCGGTGTGTGGGGCTGGCGCGCCCTCTAGCGGCCTCCCGAGCACCGTCTTGTCCCCACGTCGGCTGGCGGGGCGGCCGGCTCCGATGTCCGGCGATCCTGCGTGCTGCGGGCCCACCTGCCCGGAGCAGAGTTGCCTCCTCTGGCCTGCTCGCGTGGCTTTACCAAAGACCCCACCGCGGCTGCGCGCCCCGCCTCCATTACCATGGAGACGCATGTACACAGTTTCCTCTTCACGTCCATCCTGTCCAGAGCGAGGCCCCGCGGGCCGGCGGCCGATGCCCATGACCAACAACGCCCCAGGCAAGCTGGCCGTGAGGAGAGTGAAGTTCTTCAGCCAGCACCATGGCGAGGTGAGGCTCAGCGGGCTCCGCCCAGCCTGGGCGCCTGGGTCTGCCAGGTGGGGGCTCCGCGGGCTCTGAGGCCAGCGCTGAACCTTGGGTCTCGAGTGGACGTCACTGACTTTAGATGGTTCAAAGCAGGCCCTGGACTCCAGTTCCAGAATGGGCCTCAGGTTCCAAGCTCTGGTTCTAACCAGGACTCGAGTCTCCGGTCTCTGGCTGGAGGGCTGCAAGCTCCCGGGCTGGCTGCGTCCAGCTCGGGTTCTTGGCGCCGGGCTTCCAGGCCCTGGGTCCAGGGGAGGCCCCCGCCTCTGGCTTCTGGCTCAAGTTACAGAGGGTCAGCGGGTCCTGCACACTGGGCCCTGGTTAGAGTGAGGCTTCAGGTCCACGCTCCCAACCCAGGCTGCTGGGGCCGGAAGCCTAGGACTGGGGTAGGCAGACAGGCGTTCCTTGCGCCAGAATGGGACCTCTGTGCTCTGCCTCCAGGTTAATTTCTCCGCCTTCTCGCCCGACGGTCGGACACTGCTCACAGCCTCAGACGACGGCTGTGTGTACGGCTGGGAGACCCGCAGCGGGCGGCTGCTGTGGAGGCTGGGTGGTCACACAGGTGGGCTGCACGGCCTGGCTAGGGGGCCGCAGCCCACAGGCCTGTCCTTGTGTTTCGGCAGAGTGCGGGCAGGGCTGGGGTTGCCCACCCTAACAGACCTGCCTTGGAACCTACTTCCATCGTGGTAAACATCAACCACATCCCACTCTTACCATCTCAGCCAGCTTGCAGTCTCCGCCTCAGCTCCCGCTGGGTGGTGCTAGGTACATTCACTGGGTGGTGCTAGGTACATTCACGGCGCTGTGCAACTTCCAGAACCTGCGAAACTGTCCCCGTTCAACAATTCCTGCTCTGCTTTGACCTCTGGGTACCTCACTCAAGAGGGACAACAGTGTTTGTCTCTCTGTGATTGGCTCCAGTCACCCCTTTGTGACTGATTTTGGCCCACGTCACCCCATCAGCAGGGTCCCAGTTGCTGCACCACCGGGCGAGGTAATGCGCGCCCAGGGCAGACTGACGAGCGCTGTTCACAGGAGAGAAGTCCAGGCATTGGTTCAGGCCAGGCTGCCGCCCCAGAGTTGGGGTGGGGCTGGAGGCGGGAGAAGCCAGCAGGGGCCCAGGGCAGCCCTGCACTTGCTGCCCCAGGTCCTGTCAAGTGCTGCCGCTTCTCCCCTGATGGCCGCCTCTGTGCCAGCACCTCCCGCGACTGCACCATCCGCCTGTGGGATGTGGCGAGAGCCCAGTGTCTACGGGTGCTGGAGGGTGAGTGGGCTGGGTACGGGCATGGGCACGGGGGGCGGAGGGCCCTTCCCGACCTTGCCTGAAGCCCAGGGCTGGTGCCTGCAGGCCACCAGCGGAGCGTGGAAACGGTCAGCTTCAGCCCAGACTCCAAGCAACTGGCATCGGGTGGCTGGGACAAGCAGGTGATGCTGTGGGAGGTGCAGGTACGTGGCAGGCCAGGGCCTGCAGCCACACAGGCTGGGGGGGGGGGCAGTCCTCCTCTGGTTTTCCTCAACTGGGCCCATGTCAGGCTGCAGCCAGGCACTCACACGCCCCTCTTGTACCGAGGCCGGCACTCATCAGCTTGCCCTTGCTCAGGTGGCTCCCGGGAGGGGCTGGGCCTGAGCCCCGAGCCTAGCACTTGACACCCCAAGGCTCCCGGGCTGCTCGCTCCCCACGGCCTCCCACAGCCCAGGGCTCTCTCCTCCAGTCTGGCCAGAGGCTGCAGCTCCTAACTGGACACCGGGACTCTGTCCAGAGCAGTGACTTCTCACCCAGTGCCAACTGCTTGGTGAGCCTCGTCTGTCCCCTCCCTCTCCCTGAAGTGGCCCCAAACCCTTTCCACTTGGAGCTGAGCAGTGTGGGAAGATACGGGCTTCCCACAGCCTACTCATGGCCGGCTGCTGCAGGCCACTGGCTCCTGGGACTCCAGCGTGCGCATCTGGGACCTGCGCGCGGGGACCCTGGAGGTTTCCCACCAGGAACTGGAGGGTCACGGGAGCAACATCAGCTGCCTGTGCTACTCGGCATCGGGCCTCCTGGTAAGCTGGGCGGCTCTGGGTCGCGAGCTTGTCCCTCAGGAATGGGTCCTGGCCGTCCTGGGGCCCAGCGAGCATGCTGTCTGTGCAGGCATCTGGCTCCTGGGACAAGACCATTCACATCTGGAAGCCGGCGACCAGCAGCCCGCTTGTCAAGCTCAAGGGCCACACCACCTGGGTCAAGAGCATCGCCTTCTCCCCTGATGAGCTGTGGCTGGCCAGTGCTGGCTACTCCCACAGGGTAACCCATCCCCAGGCCCCCCGCCTGGCCCCTCCCACATCCCCACTTGCCCTGGGGGGGGGGGGCAGGGGCCAGACAAGGGTGCTGGCTTCCCTGGTGAGCAGCCAGCTCCAAGCTCTGGGGCGCTGCCACACTGCACTTTGTCAGCCATGGCCCTGGGACTCCCTGGCCGTGGCTTCCAAGGGGTCAGCCTGGCCAGTCCTCCTCTCTGACTGCTTGCCGTCCAGGTCAAAGTGTGGGACTGCAACACGGGCAAGTGCCTGGAGACAGTGAAGGTAAGGCCTGAGGCTGCAGTGCCCAGGGACAGTGTTCCCACGCAGGGGAGGCCAGGGCAGGAAGGACTCGCACCCAGAGCCTAGAGCCCTGCTTCTGGCAGGGAGTACTGGATGTGGCCCACGCCTGCGCCTTCACCCCCGATGGCAAACTCTTGGTGTCTGGAGCCGCTGACCAGTCAAGAGGCCAGGTCCACTGCTCATCCAGACCCGCCAGGGCCCCCAGGATGTACCAGCACCACAGATGGCCTGACCTCACCCCGTTCCCAGCCAAGGGTGCAAAGGTAGGGTAGGCCCAGAGAACTAACAGTGTCCTCAGATTCCTGTGGCCAGGACTGCCGGCTGGGACCTGACAGTTGGCGACCACAGAGCCTGGTCGGGGGGAAAACACGGAAGCATGGAGCAATGGCAGCCATTCTGTGTTTATTAGCAGCACGGGCTCAGGCCTTGACCGCGTACTTGCGCAGGGGGTACAGCCGCTCCTTCCGCTGCTGCTTCTTGGTCTTCAGGCTCTCCTCGTGCTTGTTGAGCCGGCGGCGCATGGCGCGGGTCTTCTTGGGCCGCAGGTCCAGGGGCTTGTACTTTTTGCCCTGGGAGACGGACAGCGAGGTGAACGTAGGCTCAGGACCACTGATCGTGGTGAGGCATGGGGCTCAGCTGCCAACATGGGCCGTGCAGACAGCAGGCAGCCCACCACGTGCGCTAGCCCGCTTACCCCTCCAAGCCAAGGCCCACGGGGCTCCCCACCTTATGCAAGACTGCTGCGTGATCCCCAGCCGTGGAGCCCAGCCCAGCAATCCAGCAGGGGCTGTGGACCACATCCTGGGGGCGCTCACGTTTCCAAGGCAGTGCCCAGGAAGCAGGAGGGTCGGCCTGGAGATGCCGGCAGTCTGAGCCTCCCAGAACACCTGGCCCGGCCAAGGCCGGTGGCACCCTGCTCCTGCCTTGGGCTCCAGGACAGCAACAGAGCCACCTGGTTTTGCCCTGCGCCCTCCCTCTGGCCCCACATGCCGAAGATGAAGGCAGCTCTCAATAGCCCTGCCTGCCCTGTGGGATCCCCTGCATATTCAGGCCACGGCCCTGTGCCTCGTCTCTGCTCTAGGGGCTCCCAGCCTTGTGGGGAAGACCAAGAGGGAGCAAGGGGCCTGCACACGGGAGAGCAAAGAGCCCAGGGCAGGCAAACATGGCGGTCACCAAAACATCAGACCGGGAACCGCCAGGCAGAGGGGAGGTGTCAGAGCCCTGCGGGTGGGCGGGGAACAGCCAAAAGCTGCTGCACAGGGCGAGGCAGGCGAGCGCACACCCGCGCCCTCGCACCAGCAGCCGCTCCTAACGCACTGGCCCCTTAGCCCTCTGCTGCCCAAAGCTGCAGCCATTAGCCCCATGATAGACGCCAACCGTCTCCCCCGGTGCTGCCGAATCCTGCTAATTGATGGCAAGCACAAGAGAATGTCTGTCCAGATCCGAGGCCGAGGGGGGACCAAACGCTGGCCACCTCCCAGGTGCGCTCAGCCCGTCCACCCCAGGGCACTGTGCAGAGCCAGGTCCCCGCCCGGGACTGACAGGGCGAGAGGCAATTCTCAGGAACCGCTCCACCTGCCCGCACCCCCCAGCGTCTGCAGCCCACAGCCGCGCGGCCTGCCTGCCTGCCTGCCCGCCAGCCGGCCCAAGGCACTGGGAGAGGGTGAGCCAAACCCAGCCGTGACCTGGGGCCCAGCAGCCAAGCCCACCTCCAGGCTCACCTTGTAGAATTTCCTGAGGTTTTCTTTCTGGGTCTGGTTAATGACGGTGAGAACGCGGGCGATGGATTTGCGGACAACTCGACTGGAAAAGAATCGTCAGTGAGGCTAGGGAGGACAGACGTCCACGTTCACGGGAAAGAAGGGGTCCTGGGGGCGCCAGAGTGCAGGAAGGCTCGGAGCCAGGAGCGAGGGGCTGGGAACGGCAGCGCTTCCACGCGGAGGCACACGAAGGCCTCGCCAGCGCCAGCCTGAATGAAGCCACGGGAGGGAACCAGGCCGCCGGGCGGGGGAGGGAGCTGAGGCTGGGAGAAGCTGACCCGGAGTCCCACGGCACACGTGCAGGGACGGGGGCTGCACCCACAGCCTGCAGGACTCGGCCCACAGTCCTGCTCTCACAGCGAGGTTATTCTGTGGCCAAGGGGAGCGAGCCTTCACTGAACGGGAGAAAAACCTCTGGGAAGTGACCACGCCACCCATGGGCTTGGGATGTGGCACAGGGGGGCTCCCACCCAGATCCGGTGTCTGCAAACCCGCCTTCCCCACGAAGGCTCGTGCACAGAGTCCGCCACAGCTCAGAGCTCGCGGGGTGCCAGGCGCCCACGTGCACGCGGGGGGCAGGTGGGAGACGGGGTCCACGGCAGGTGCGGGGGGGCCGCTCACTCACATCTTGGAGAGCTTGGACGCCGCGCCGCCGGTCACCTTGGCCACGCGCAGCTGGGACAGCTCCACCTTCAGGTCGTCCAGCTGTTTCAGCAGCTCCTCCTTCTTCTTGCCGCGAAGGTCCCGGGCCTTGATCTTGGCCTGCGGGCAAGAAAGCGTCTGGGCCGGGGAGCTCGCGGGGCCGCCGCCGCTCCCCCCGCGCCGAGGCCGGGTAGCCGAGGCCCCGCGGCGCCTGGCAGGGCCACCCGCCCCATCCTGCAGGCCGGGAAGACGCAGGCCCCGGCCGCGCGCCTCTCCCCTGCCAAGTCTGACGGCGAAGGCTGTGGCGGTGCTCAGCCTTTCCCCGCCGCTGCTCTCATCCGGGCCCGGCTCGGGGATGAGACCCCGAGGCTCACTCTGTGTCCCTCCACGAAAGCCCCCGCGCCCCACGGAGCTCAGATGGCGCTCGATGCCCTCGCCCTCACCATGGCTGCACAACCCCGCCGCCGCCGCCGCTCGGAGGGAAAGAGGAAGAGAGAAGGGCTGACCTCCGCAACTGCTTCCGGGTGGCGGCGGCCGCGGCCAATGGCGCCGAGGTCCAGGGCCTCGAGGCCCCGCCTCTTCCTCCGCGCAGGGACGCGCCTCTCCCCGGCGTCCCGCGCGGGGCGGCCGCCGCGTCCCGGGTAACCGAGGTGACGTGAGTCAGCGTCGCGTTCTGAGCCGCGCTGCTCGGGACGCCGAGGCCGAGGGAGGGCCGGGGCCGGGCGGCGGCGGGCGGCTCAGCTCGGTGCTCGCCGCGGTGCCGGCAGACCGGAAAGGGCGTTCGTACTCCGCCTTTTTCGGGAGCCGACTGAGTTTCAAGTTCTTGCCGTTGAGACCCTTGGCGCCCCCTTCCCCTCTCGAGTCTGTGTGTATGAAGATGGGAGAGCGCCTGGCACGAGACCTGGTGCCCAGGGCTCGCTGCGGGCATCACCAGCGAACACTGGAGTCGGTCGGGAGAGAGAGAGGGACCCCCGAGCGGGGCAGGTGACCCTGGCCGCCCCGAACAGCGGGCTTCGGTCGGTGCCTCCGTGTTACCCGCTCGGCATTCAGAAACTCTGCCTCCCAGGGCTCCCTTGCTGCTGTCTGGAGCCCCCTCCCCTCCCGGCCTGCGAAAGCCACCCCCTGCGCGAGTGTCCCTCTGCAGTCCTCTGAGCCCCGGGCATCCTGAGTTCGATGGTGGCCACAGCCGGTCTGGAAGGTCGCTGGGGCGCCACCGCCTGGCTCAGTTTCTCAGCTGTCCAGGCCCAGTACTGGGATGCTTTGCCCCAGGTCCTGCAAGGCAGGCTTCCCGGAGGTGCCGGGGTTGGGGAAACAAAGCAGACAAGTGGAGCCTGCGCTGTGCGATCCAGCTCCCTGCTGATGTGCCTGGGAGAGCAGCGGAGGAGGCTCCAGTGCTGGGGCCCCTGCACCCACGTGGGAGACCCGGTCGAAGCTCCTGGCTCCTGGCTCAGGCCTGGCCCAGCCCTGGCTTAGGTCGAGGCCATTTGGAAGATCTCTCCTCTCTCTGCCTCTCCTTCTCATGCTGTAACTTGGCTTTCAAATAAGTTAAAAAAAAAAAAAAAAAAAGACTAGGTTGGCATGGATTATTCTAGAATGGAAGTCTAGTGGTACCTGGGCTTTGCTGTCCTATTTTCCAAATGTTTACTCTTGTTAGCGATTTGCATATCTTTGAAGCCATCCGTGAGTCCCTTTTCTCTTACTGTCCACTCCGGTGAGCTCTGCCCTCCACTCCTGGCGCTCCCTGCCGTGAGCCACCACCATTGCCTACACCTGGGCCCGTGGGCCTGCTTTGCTCTTGACCCCAGCTGTATTCTCAGTACAGCCGCTAGAGGGCCCCTGTTCAGACTTCTTAAGTCAGAAGTCAGGCCTGGGCACTGCAGTCCTTTGGGAGTGAACCAGTAGAGGGGAGCGCTCTCACATAAAACCTTCCAGGGCTGTGCGTCCCATCTGCCTTCACCTCCCCCATCCTGTGTCTGCTGCTCCGGCACGGCCTGTTTCTGGAACATGCTGGGCCTTCCCCACATCTGGGCCTGTGCCTGGCTCCATCTCCTCGTCTCCTCCGACCACGTTGTACAAGGCACTCCCAGCCCCGTGTGACTTTTCCCCTCCTTAGCTCTCAGTCATCCTGAGTAGTATGCTAGTACAGATTCTAAAATCCTGTCTCCCTGACTGCAACAGAAGTTCATGACTGGGGCCAGCGCTGTGGTGCAGCGGGTTAAAGCCCCAGCCTGCAACGTGGCATCCCATATGGGCACTGGTTCGAGTCCCAGCTGCCCCACTTCCCATCCAGCTCTCTGCTGTGGCCTGGGAAAGCAGCAGATGATGGTCCAACTCCTTGGGCCCCTGCACCAGCATGGGAGACCCAGATGAAGCTCCTGGCTTCAGATCAGCTCAGCTCCAGCCGTTGTAGTCATTTGGGGAGTGAACCAGTGGATAGAAGACCTTTCTGTCTCTACCTCTCTCTGTATATAACTCTTTCAAATAAACAAGTTCTGTGACCATGACCTGGAACCTTTCATTCTAGTTTTTCTGGGTGCCATTTCCTTGTTTGTAAAATGGGTATTTCCAGTTTCTTTCTTTTTTTTTTTTTTTAAGATTTATTTATTTGGGGCCGGCGCTGTGGCACCGTGGGTTAACACCCTGGCCTGAAGCGCCGGCGTCCCATGTGAGCACTGGTTAGAGACCCGGCTGCTCCACTTCTGATCCAGCTCTCTGCTGTGGCCTGGGAAAGCAGTAGAAGATGGCCCAAGTCCTTGGGCCCCTGCACCCACGTGGGAGACCCGGAAGAAGCTCCTGGCTCCTGGCTTCGGATCAGCACAGCTCTGGCTGTTGCGGCCATTTGGAGAGTGAACCATCGGATGGAAGACCTCGCTCTCTCCCTCTGTAACTCTGCCTTTCAAATAAAATAAATCAATGTTAAGATTTATTTATTTGAAAGGCAGAGTTACAGAGAGGGAGACAGATCTTCCATCTGCTGGTTCACTCCCCAAATGGCTGCAACAGCCAGGGCTGGGCCACGCCACAACCAGGGGCTTCAGTGTGTGTGCAGGGCCATCCCTGCTGTTTTCCCAGGGACGGTAGCAGGCAGCTGGATCGGAAGTGGAGCAGCCAGGACATGAACCAGTGCCCGTGTGGGATGTCGGCTTCCCCCACTACACCACGCCGGCCCCTCAAGTCCCTTATCAGGATAGTCTGCGGATACAAACTTCTGCTGTCACGCGGCCTTCCTGAGTCAGAAAACTTCCCAAGTATAGAGTTGAAATGCAAGAGGGCTTTGCCTGCCACGGACGAGAAAAAAGAGAGGACATGCCCCGGTTCACTCCCCACACGCCAGCAAGGCCCAAGCCTGCAGCCAGGAACTCACTCGGGGCTCCCAGGTGGGTGGCAGGGGCCGGCTGCCTCCCAGGGTGCACACAGCCGGAAGCTGAAAGTGGGGGCAGAGCCGGGACTCAGGCTCCAATAAGGGATGACTCCAATATGGGATGCAGGCTTCCTGCCGGCTAGGCCCAACACCAGCGGCCCCGGCAGCATTTTTATCTGCAGACACAGTTGAATGAGAAGTATTCAACAAATCATATGTGAAACACGAACTTTAGCCTAAGGCTGAAGTCAGTTAACAGAACCTCTCCGGCAGCGGCCCAGGCCGGAACCCGACCCTGCCGCTGCCCTGCCGCCCAGCCCCCCAGCTCAGACTCTGGGAATGCCGCTCCCGGCGCGCAGGGCCCACGTCCCGGCCCTCCGGCCAACGACGGTAGCCCCAGGGCCATCTCCTCCTGGCGGCACGAAGTCGCCGCACCCTCAAATCAAAAGGGCTCCAGAGTCGTCAACCCCTGGACGCGCTCTGCTTCATAACGGGGTCACCTGCTCTGGCTCAGTGCAGTGCGTTCGAGGCCCCCTCCCAGCAGAGCCGCGCGCGCTCCGTCCGGGGAGTGATGACCCCTGGACTCCGCGGCGCCCTTCCCTGGGAAGGAGCTCCTCGGAGAGAGAAGAACCAGAGAGCGAGCGCAGCTATGGCGCACACGGCGTTAAGCCTGCGCGGGCACGAGGCATCCACACCCCGAGACGTGCAGACAGAGCCGACGAGGCACGAGGAGACCATCCGTGACACCGCCGCGCCGGCACGCCTCCACTCCCCTAGGCCGCGCCCTCCTCTGCGCACTTCCGGTTCCGGCGCAGACCGGAAGTGGGCGGGCCGGCGGCTGCGCGCGGAGGAGGTGGAGGCGGTGCCCGGCGGCCGCTTCCCACCCCCGAGCCGGAGCCGGTGCCGAGCGGAGCGGAGCCGAGGTCGGTCCGGGAGCGGAGCCGGCTGAGCGACGCCGAGCTCCCACCATGGCCCGGAACACCCTGTCTTCGCGCTTCCGCCGGGTGGATATCGACGAGTTCGACGAGAACAAATTCGTGGACGAGCAGGAGGAGGCGGCGGCGGCGGCGGGAGAGCCAGGCCCGGACCCTAGCGAGGTGGACGGGCTCCTGCGGCAATATCCTTCCCCGGCGGGGCGGTCCGGCCTCCGCGCGCGCTGCGGCCTGGGCTCCTCTCTGGTGCGGCCGCTCCAGTTCCCTCATGCCGGGCTCGGGCTCCCGCTGCCCTTCCTGTCGGTCCCGGCCGGTCAGTCTGTCTCCCTTCCGACCCGGCTCCCCTCTGCGCCGGGCCGCACCGCAGCAGCTCAGCCCTGGGCCTTGGGGCACAGCTCTCGGCGGCCCCAAAGCTACGGCGACCGTGCCTCGGGCCCAGGCCCCTCGCCCCCCATCGCTCCCTCCGGCTCTTGCGGGAGATCGGGCGGCTGCAGGGGCCGTCGGGGCCTGGGCCTCCCCGGTTGCCCGCACACCTTGTGAGTAGGCGGCGGAGGGCGGAGAGGCTGGGCAGACCCAGCGGGGAATGAGGGCTGCAGCCCGGGGCGGCCTGGGGTCCGAGGCCGTGCGCTCCTGCTCCCGAGTCGGCCGGCCCCTCTGCACGCCAGCCTTGCGCACCCGTTCCCATTTCCTCGGAGCGCCTTGGGCCCTGCACCTGCACGCTCCCGGCCGCGCTTCCCGAGGGAATTTGCCGGTCCGCAGGGGCAAGAGCGGCTGGTGTCGAGCTGAGAAGCAGCGCACGGCGCATGCGAGGTGCAAGGAGGCCCAGGGCTGGACAAGGCTGTCCGTGGCCGCAGAAAGCAGGCGGCTAGGGAAGATTAAAAATAGAGGTGATTGGCGCAGCCTGCCTGGGCCCGCCGCAGTCCGAGCACGGGAAACCGGCTCGCTGGGGCGGGCGGGATTTGCCTGTGCAGACGGTGGCAGAGGAAGTGCGTGCCCCTCCCCCGCCCCTGCCGGGCCGGGGCTGGAGGCTGCCGCCGCCGGGTGGAGGTCAGATGCCCCGCGTTGAGTCAGTTGACTCAGCTTGGAGGCCCCACTGCCTTCGGGAGGAGTTCTGCGCTCCAGCCCTCTGTTTGAACTAGAATGGGTTCCAAAGGTGGAGGCTCCAACCTGTATTTCCTGCCTGGCTCACCCTGCTGGGGCAGTGGGGCCGGGGAGGGGCCCCCGGGAGGGCCTGCTGGCGGCGGGGCCGCCGGCCGCAGCGCGCGAGCCCAAGGCCTGGGCAGCTGACGCCGACCTTGCTGTGCAGGGACTTGCTGAAGGGCGCCTCTCGCTCGGCCCCTGCCTGGTTTGGGTTCCTCGGGCTGCTTGGAGGCCTAGGGTCCGCTGCTCCTGGAGGGTGTGCCTCTGGGGTCAGGGGTCAGGGAGCGGGAGGTGAGCGAGTGAGGACTGAAATCCTGGGGCCCAGCTGGCGGGAGGAAAGAGCTAATGTTTATTGAGTCCTACCCTGTACCAAGTATTGGACTTTAGATAGCTGGATGTAAGCTGTAGAGTTTCTTTCTTTCTTTGTAAGTATTCATTCATTCATTTGAAGGCAGTAGATGTTTTTTTTTCCGCTGGTTCACTCCCAAATGGCTGCAATGGCCAGAGCTGGCCTGGTCCGGAGCCAGGAGCCAGGAGCTTCAGCTGGGTCTCCCACGTGGGAGCAGGGGCCCAAGCACTCGGGCCATCTTCTTCTGCTTTCCCAGGCACAGCAGAGAGCTGGAGCACGCAGTGGCCTCACCTGCTGTGCCACAGCGCTGGGGCAGAGGGGAGGGTTGCAGAGGGAGAGGTTACTTGACTGGGGGGAAGGGGCTGCCCGTCCTAGGGCTGTACAGGAAATGTGATGGTGGGAGGCGCCCAGGAGAGGTGGAGGACCACGGCCGTGCGTGCACACAGACCAGTTCCGCGCCGCTGCGGCTGTGTGACCTCGCACAGGCACACACCTGTCAGCCTCTGCTGCCGCCTCTTCATGGAAGGCAGCCTGCTGGGTGCTCAGCACACGACCTGGACCTGAGCGGCAGCGAGGGATTGTGGGAAGCGCTTGGGTCTGGAGGCGAGCTGGACGGCTGGACCTCGCCACCCTCCAGCAGCTTCATGGCCTTTGAAACCAGAATAGCCTTGCTGGGAGGGGTTTTCCCCGGGATGAGCCGCCGTGCGAAAGCCCCTGGCGGGTCCGCGGAGTATCAGTTCCCTTTCTTCCTGGGCCGCCTGTTGAGAGCAGTGGTTTGGTTCTCTGAGAGGGCCTCAAGCCTGCGGGGTGCAGACACCAGCTTCCCAGGGGCGCCCTCCCTGCTGCTCCCGGCTGCTGCAGGCCTTCCCTCGACAGCCTGGTGCCACTGAGGGCGCTAACAGGCCCCCGCCCACCCCTCTCCCCCGACCGGCCTTTGCCTACCGTCTCCGGATGATTGGGTTTGCCAGGAGGGCAGGCTTCAGTGAAAAGCATGCGGGCCTGTGTTCCTGTCAGCCCGGGACCCCAGGTTAGAGAAGAGGGGCAGAGCTCATCAGCGCTGCTGGCCTAGGGACCCTGGTTAGGCTGGGGGGGGACTGCAGAGCTGAAGTGCAGGGGCTGGGTCGCCGCCCAGTCTGAAGGCAGCGGGGCGCAGGAGGCCCAGCCCTGTCTGGGGGCTCCGTTCTCAGGGGGCCTCGCCGCACGGCGCAGCAGACACCTGGTCGGGCCTGGTGCTATTTCTGAAGCTTGTGGCTGAAGCCAGTGTTTCACATGATGTAACTCGGTTTAAAATAGGTGTCGCCTTTGGGGACTTAACCCAGATTGTCATTTTCTTTTGCATGCTGGGTATTGGCAAAGAATGTGGTATCAGGATTGCCACTGAGGTTTGGGCGGGGCAGAGTGGCTCCTCTGTGGGCCGAGGGTTCTCACAGACTGGCAGTCGGACCTCTCTGGCCACGGTAGCTCCTGGAAGAAAGAAGCGTTAGTGTCTCTTCATTCCTTTAGTAGTGGAATTGATACAAAGCATCCGTGAAGAATTAGGAGACTTCCGGTTGTGCCTTCCTGCTTCCCTTTGTAGAGAGATGAGAGAGGCCTGTGAGTGCCCGGTGGGGGCAGGTGGGGCGCTGGGCGGGGCCCCTGGGACCTCACTGCAGTTGGCCCTTAGGGGCAGCTGCTTTGTGGGGAGGCAGAGAGGCGCTGCCTGGGGCTCAGGCAGCTCCAGGCTGTGAAGCAGCTGGGCCTCGGGATCCTCGTGAAGTGCCCCGGAGCGGTTCGGATTGGGCCCACGGTGCGCGCGGACACGCTTGGCCTGGCTGACCTTAACGGATGCTGGTGCACAGGGGACATGCTTCGGGCGTTCCACGCCGCCTTGCGGAACTCTCCGGTCAACACCAAGAACCAGGCTGTGAAGGTAAAGGGGCGGGGCAGGGCCCCGTCTGTGTGTGCAGCTCCCGAGGGCCTCCCTCCGGGGACTTGGCCCTGTTCTGCTTCTGTGGGCTCTGAATGCACAGGGAATTTACGGCTTCTCAGAGTCCTGTTCACACGGCCTGGAAAGAGGACAGATTACACTGCTGGCTGCGGCCTCCTCGATGCCGGGACGCGGGTCTTGACGGGGGCCGCAGCGAGTCAGCCTGTGTTCTCGAAGGGGCACCTCCTCCTCCACCGTCCGATCCTGTGGGGCCTCGCGCCTTGCTGGCGCCTGCCCAGGAAAGCACCTCCTCCATGGGAAGTGGAGGAACTCAGTTACTCGGTCATCGACAGGCAGTACTGCGTACTCTGAGCCAGTGGGAGAATCTTAGCCCACTTTTTTTAAAAAGCTGTCTGATCCTAGATCGAGTTAGAAACTGGGCAGTGCTTCTGGCGAGCTCCTCCCACTTGTGCCTACAGTGGGGCAAGGATGGGCCCGGCTGTGGCTCTGGGCCTCACGCGCGCTCTTTCCTCTGCAGGAGCGAGCCCAGGGCGTGGTGCTGAAGGTGCTCACTAACTTCAAAAGCAGCGAAATTGAGCAGGCGGTGCAGTCTCTGGACAGAAACGGCATCGACTTGTTAATGAAGTACATTTATAAAGGGTTTGAGAAGCCCACGGAAAACAGCAGTGCAGTGCTGCTTCAGTGGCATGAAAAGGTACGTGGACATGCCGGCCCCGTGCCCAGCCCCTGCCTCACCCCGGGCTTCAGCAGGCGCCCTGCGAGAGCCGGGGCCAAGCCTCCACTTGGGACCCTTGGTCCCCTCCCCCTCCCAGGGAAGCACCTGGTCGGGCTCTGCTGTCTCTGGTACACTCACTTTATAGCTGCTGCTTTGTGCCAGGCAGGACAGGGGGCCCTTGCTGTGTGCCATGGGTGCAGGTGACCAGGCGTGGTGTGGAGTGGCAGGGATGCTTCCTGGCTGGCTGGCGCGTCATGGTACTTTCTTTGCATTGGTGGAGTCAACTGCTGGGTGAGTGGGGTGGTCCTAGGATGAAGGCTGAGCCTCCTCGCCAGCTGCGAGGGCTTCTGGCCCCGGCCTCAGCAGGCCAGAGCGCGCAGTGGGCAGCAAACACGACAGTCATTTACCATGGCCTCGTCCGCCTGCCGCTCTTCACCTGGGTGCCTTCCGTCAGGCCTGCGTGCCCACTGCCCTGCCCCGCATGCCCCCTTGACAGGGGTCAGGCGCTGGGGGCGGGGCGAGCAGTCCCCCTGCGCGGCGTGGAGGCCACTCCAGTGGGCCGGTGTGCGTTCCTGTGCCTCGGGCAGCGCTGGCAGCCTGGAAGCGAGGGACTTGCTGAGAGAGGAACTGTGGCTCTGCCGGGCGTGCACGGTGCCTGGGCCCGGGCCACTCCTGCTGCCGGAGGCGGTGGTCACGTCGCAGGAGTCCTTTCTCCGAGGGTCGGCACATGCGGTCAGGCTGGGGGGCGTGGGCCCGTCGTGGCCAGCCAGGTCTCACCTGACACATTTCCTTTTCCTGCTCCGCAGGCCTTAGCAGTAGGAGGACTAGGCTCCATTATTAGAGTTCTTACAGCAAGAAAGACTGTTTAAAAGTCAAAGGACTTGTTACCTCGAGAACTTTGGATGCCCAGGCCGGTGCAGAAGGGACTGACAATGGACCACCTTCCTAGGAGCGCCCGACTCGACTCTTCCAGGACTCGTGGCCGCTGAAGTGTATTTTATTTTCAAGGTGGAGGGAGAAATCGTCTGTTTCCCAAATCCTCTGCAGGACCTGATCGTCTCTTTTGCCTTCGTCTACACAGTACTGCAGAACGGGCACTGGGACCGGACAGAGAGGCTGGCCAGCACTGGTCAGGTGGAGCTGTGCGTGCTGCCAGCTGAGGCTGGGGGAGGGATGGTTTGGGCAGGTGCAGACCCAAGGGCTGTGGTGAAAGGGACAGCTTGTGGGAAAACCCGAGTTTGTACAGACCCCCGACCTCCCGGGAAGGTGGGCTCTCGGGTTCGTTGTAAAGTGCCTGCTGCATCAATAAAGCTCTTGGCTTCTTAGTATACACATCGCGGTGTCTTGTCTCTGAAAGGTAGGGTGGGATGGGATGGGAACGAGAGAGTTTGGCTGTTCCAGGAACTCTGGACGGGCTCGAGAGTGTCCCTGCTTGGCCGCTGCGAGCCTCGGCTGAGAGGTTTGCTCAGTAACTGTTGTTCCTCACTCCTTTGACCTGGGTGTCACTCTGGAGCTCACTTAAGCGAATGCAGAGCCAGGCATTTGATGATCAGTCAGGTCTTCAGTCTGTGACTACACTTGGTCTGCGCTGAGGGTGGGCCTGAACACCCCTGGTTCCCAGCTCCGGCTCTGCTGGGTGCAGCAGCAGCGTGAAGCATCAGCAGGTTTTCTTTTCTTTAAGTATTTATTTGAGAGGGAGAAAGAAGCTGAATGAGAGCTTCCATTTGCTGCTTCACTCCCAAGTCCTGCCGTGGGCCCAAGCTCAATGCAGGCCCCCACGGGGGTGGCCAGGACTCAACAACTGTTCAGCATCGCTTCCGCCTCCCAGGGTGTGCACAGCAGGAAGCCAGAACTGGTAGCGGAGCTGGGATTCAAACCCAGGCACTATGGGATCTACTGTGGGATGTGGGGTCCCAAGCTCCTGCCCGGACAAGGGTTCTTAAAAGAACTAAAAGCCGGGCACAGGGAACAGCCAGTGGGTGCGAAGGAGGTGATGTAACCACTCACAGCAAGCCCTCTTTTCCAGCTCACGGGAGAGCTCTGCGCTGTCAGAGGTAGGGACCCGAATGCCTCTGCAAGCTCCTCTGACCAAAGCACCCCCCCCTCCCCGCTTTGTAGAATGACTGTGGTCTTTGGGCGGTAGGACTAGGCTGCTGGCTGCATTAAATTACACGTTCACCCAAACCTGGCTGAGTGGGGAGGGGTTCTTTCTGAAAGACAGTTCTGTAGCCCTTGAAGTATTGGAAACAAGAGACAATGTACTAGCAGCAAACCAGGCAAACAAGCACTGAGACAGCAAACCATCCAGGAAAACCCCCGGCAACTGCATCGGAATTGAAGCGCTTTAATCAAAAAGTGTATTGCACCACAAGTGAGTTTTCTACAGCAGTCTCAGGAGTACCATCCTATTTACAACACTGAGTGAGATCAAGAGCAACGTCCATAGAAAGGGCTATGTATACTGCCTCATACAGGACATTTTATACAAGTGAAAGTGCACGAAATCACTTAGAATGTTTACTCCATTCTTCCCCTTAAAGCTGAGGGAAATTCAACATGCAGGAGGAACCCTGAATCCGAGCAACTCCTCCCTAAGGGGACACACTCCTAGGCCCCAGGACACCTGAGGCGGGGGTGACCCGCCCCCGGGGCAGGAGAAGCCGGGCGGAGCAGACCCTGCCTCCCAAGTGTTACAGCTGCCCCAGCAGCTCGCACTCCTCCTACCAAAGTGACGGAGCCCAGGGGACGCCGGTTTCGTGTCGCCCACCGGGGAATGGAACGCAGCGTTCTGAGGGACCCGAGCGGCAGGCTGCCCGGCACTGCCCTGGCTGCTGTGGCGCGGGGCAGCGCCGGTGAGCTTCTGCCAGGCCTGTTCGGCATCTGCCTATCCGTATGTGCATGTACATACGTGCAGTGACCCAAAGCCTAACTGAGAAACACCTGTACGTCACTGGATACGGACACTCCAGCCACTCTTGTTCATTTAGCCAGCGAGACTCACTGAAGTATCAATCAATCAATGGCTTCCCTTTCAGCTGAAGGACGCGCCGTGTCCAGAACAAGCGTCTCTCCTCTCCTCAGCAGTAACGGATCCAAGCTCTGGGCGGCCGGCGGCGGGGGTGCTGTCAGCTGCTGCAGCAGTGCCACCTGGGCCTCTGGTGTCAGGGGCAGCCCCTCCCAGGGTTTGGTCCAGGCTGGGGGAGGGGCATTAAGCACAGGCTCCGGGCGGGGCCCAGGAGGTCCCCGGCCGCCCCGGGGCCAGCAGATGCGCAGGACGCGAGCAAAACCACAGAGGGACAGGACTCCTGCTTTTAGAAAGAATTTCCTCTTGATGCGCTCTCATTGTCCTTTAAGAACATCAGTTCAATGGATTTTCTAAGACAGAAGACATGTTTATAACAGCAAAGAACTTCAGCTATAAAAAATAGTTTAAAATGGTTTGCCAGCAACCTATCCAAGACAAGTACATTCATTAAAAAGGCCATTGAGTGTATTTGGTGCTACACTGGGATCGCTGTATTTGCTAGCTTTCTTCTGGACAGTGGAGATGCCGTCAGCAAGCTGCATGTCCTTCAGGCCACCTGGCCTCAGCGTGCCTTCGCGATGTGCACATCTGAGGGTCCAGGGGAGCGCTGTGTTCTTGGGAGGAGGGCTTGACCAGCCTTGGCTCCTGTGAACCCCACGCCCTGGCGGAGGGCCCCTCTAGAAGCCGCAGCACAGCTGAGTGTGGCCCGCGTCATCATGGTCAGCACCGCCTGAGGGCCGTGGCCACGGCTCTGCACGCTAACGGGATAGGCAGAGGCTCGGGTGCAGACAGGGTGCTGGCCAGAGCTGGGCTACCAGCAGCCCTGTGGCAGCCGGGGAGTGCCGGACCCTCCTGTTGGTGGCCAGACACAGGATCAGCTCCCTCCCGAGGTGCATGTGAGCCTGCAGGGAAGTGGGCCTTAAGTGTTGTAAACAATGTTTAGACGCTTGTACAAAATACTGCAGTTACAGTGATTAAAAACCCACCCAGACTGGTGTGTCAGCGAACTTTTCACAGAAAAAGAGTCAACCCACGGCGCTCCGTCCTCGGGTGCTTCCCTAGGACCACGGTATCCGAGGGTTTGAAATAGACGGCCGGATGCTGCCCTTGGGGGCTGGTCTGGACCCAAACCACGACATCTGCATTGGAAACAAGAGAGGCTGCTGAGCGCGGGCAGGCCGGGCACAGGAAGCAGCAGCCCCTGCGGCGGGCAGAGCAGTGAGGAGGGGGTGGTGCCAGGAACCAGTCTGCGGGGCCAAGAGCCTGTCCTCACGGCAGGAAACGAGGTGACAAGGGCAAGGGCAAGGAGTTGGAGGCAGCTTTTAACGTCTGGGAGCCGGGCCAGGCCTGGGGCTGCTGGCGCAGGGGCACCTCCCACACACGCTAGGCCTGCTGCACAGGCACAGCGGGCGTTTGGGCGTGCGGCTGACCTCACCGAATCCTTCCTAGGTCAAGTCCATCACCTGTGCACAACCGAGCGGCGGCAGGGCGGCAGCTGGTCCCTGCAGGGCCGGGCTCGCTGGGTGGGGGAGGCCGGGCGGCGGGAAGCCTACCTTGTACTCCAGGGTCTCCTTGAGCATGCTCTCTTCCTCCTGGGAGAAGTTCAGCAGGACCGACACCGCCTTGATAAGATGAAAAGCCTGGAACAGAGTAAGTTTTGCTGTGGGGTGGGGAGTGGGGAGTCAGGGGGCTAAACAGAGCATTTCCTGTTCTCGCCTAGCAAGAAGTGGGCGGTGGGCGGGGTTCAGGCCTTCTGAGGTGGAGCAGCGGCCGCGCTCCCCTGAGCTCCACGTCTGCTGGGACGTCCCAGGACTGCGGGCCGCGCAGTTCCCAGGGCTCTGGCCTTGGCGCCCAGGTCAGGGTTAGAAGTGGCTCCCGCAGCTCCCACCAGGAGCCTGTGCCCACCGAGCTCTCCCCTACCCGTCGCTTAGCAGGAGGCACGGCTGAGTGCCCACAGGAAGGAGGGGACGGAGGAAGTGGGCTGGGGGAGCCATGCACGCAGGGCTGCCCGTTACCTCGGATTCCCGACAGGACATGAATTTTAAAACAACGTGCTTAAGGTATTCGAAGTTGATCTCGCGGGCATCGGTGAGGTCGGCGTTACTGGTGACAGAAGGTGCCAGGGTTGGCATCTCAGGGCCAGGCTTCTCTCGAACATCAAAAAGCTCATTATCAGGTCTGATTTTCTAAAAAACCCAAAAACAAGAAAAGGAACAGATGCTATGGCACAGTCTTCAAGTTGGGTCTAGAACTTTTCATGGGAGGCCCAGCCTATCCCCAGTGGGTTCTTAGTGGCAAAGACCAGATCTGAGAAGGGCTCAGCTCCTCCAGGAGGGGGCGGGAGGTCACGGGAAACTCAGACACTGCTCTCCTTGCCAAGGACACGGCCCTGCGGCAGTAAGCCCCCAGCCTGGGGCCGGGGCTGTTCCTGTCTGCACAGAGCCACGCTGCCCTCTGGAGGAAACCCATTTCCAGGGAGGCTGCGGGCTGAGAAGGCAGGCGCCCGGGCTGCAGAGCCCTTCTCGGAGGTGGGTTCACAGAGGCAGGGCCGGCGCACCACCAGAGCCCCCTCCGATCAGAGAGCAGGGGCCCAGTGGGGATGCAGGGCGCGGGCGGGGGCCAGCAGGGGAGAGGGCTGTGCGCCTGGGGCACTCACCAGCTCCTTCTGCAGAGTCTTTCTGAGCTCCAGCATCCTCTGCTGCATCTGCTTTATGGTCTGAGACAAAGCCCCGCCCCCACAAGGCCGTGGTTAGAGGCCGTCCTGCACGGCTCTGTCCCCTCCCACCCGGGAGGGGTCTGCACCAGGCCCGCGCTCAGCTGCCTCAGCCACGTGCCTGCTGCTGTGGGGCTGTCCTATGTGCTCAACACTGCGTGCCACGCCTACTGCCGGCGGCGTCCTGGGCGCTCAGTCCTCAGGCCCCTGCCAGCACCGCTACAACCGCTCCTTCGCACTTGTGTTAGGTGAAGGAGGGCACAAGGCCAGACTCACGGCTCCCACCGTCACTGTGGTTCTCCTCAGACACCACAGGCATGTGCAATACTTACTTTTTATTAAATCATTTATTTGACAGGCAAAGTGACTGAGAGGGAGATACATTCCGTCCACCAGTTCACTCCCCAGATACAATACCCAGGTCTGGGTCAGGCCAAAGCCACGAGCCTAGAGTTCCATCTGGGGCTCCCATGTTGGTGGCAGGGGCCCAGGGACTTGAGCCACATTCTGTTGCCTTTCCAAATGCAATGCTTATTATTATTTTTTAAAGATCTATTTATTTACTTGAAAGTCAGAGTTACACAGAGGGGTAGGGGGAGGAGTAGGAACAGGGTAGAGGGAGGGGGAGGGCACTTGGGCCATTTTCTACTGCTTTCCCAGGCCGTAGCAGAGAGCTGGATCGGAAGCAGAGCAACTGGGTCTTGAACCAGCGCCCATATGGGATGCTGGCACTGCAGGTGGCGGCTTTACTGGCTGTGCCACAGCACCGGCCCCAATGCTTATTATGAACAGTGTGAAAGATCATGGTTTTTCTGCACAAGCCACCAACATTGGCTTTCATTTCTTTTTTTTATTTATCTTTTAAAAGATTGATTTATTTGAAAGGCAAACAGAAAGAGAGGGAAAGACAGATCATCCATCCAGTGGTTCATTTCTCAAAAGGCTGCAACAGCTGGGGCTGGACCAGGCTGAAGCCAGGAGCCAGGAACTCCATCTGGGTCTCCCACGTTGGAGCAGGGGCCCAGGGACTTGGACCATCTTCTGCTGTTTTCCCAGGTGCATTAACAGGGAGCTGGACCAGAAGTGGAGCAGCTGGGACGCTGGAGGCACAGGTGGCAGTTTACCCTGCTGGACCACAACGCTGGCCCCCGAGTTTTCATTTCAAGGAAAAGCTGGAGTTTGCTTTGGCTCCCCAAGAGACATAGCCAGGGCTGCTGCTGTGGTGTAGCAGGTAAAGCTACCACCTGCAGTGCCAGTGGAGTGGCTGGGACTTCTGATCCAGCTCCCTGCTGGTGTGCCGGGGAAAGCAGCTAAAGATGACCCAAGTACTTGGGACCCTGCACTCAGATGGGAGACCAGGAAGAAGCTCCTGGCTGGCACAGCTCCAGCTGCTGCAGTCCTTTGGGGAGTGAACTAGAGAATAGAAGATTTTTCTCTGTCTCTAACTCGGCCTTTCAAATAAATAAATCTTTAAGAGAGAGAGAGAGAGAGAGAGAGAGAGAGAGAGAGAGGAGAGAGAGAGAGAGAGAGAGAGAGAGAGAGAGAGAGATAGCCCCGCTTCTCCTGGGGAGTGAGGTCCTCAGTCAGAGGACTGTGAAATGTGTCTAGCTCCTCCCTTTCTGAGCATTTTTTCATTTTTTTTTTTTTTTTTTGGACAGGCAGAGTGGACAGTGAGAGAGAGAGACAGAGAGAAAGGTCTTCCTTTGCCGTTGGTTCACCCTCCAATGGCCGCTGCAGCTGGCGCACTGCGCCGATCCGAAGCTAGGAGCCAGGTGCTTCTCCTGGTCTCCCATGCAGGTGCAGGGCCCAAGGACTGGGCCATCCTCCACTGCCTTCCCGGGCCACAGCAGAGAGCTGGCCTGGAAGAGGGGCAACTGGGACAGAATCTGGCGTCCCGACCGGGACTAGAACCCGGGGTGCTGGCGCCGCAGGCGGAGGATTAGCCTAGTGAGCTGCAGTGCCGGCCCTTTCTGAGCATTTTAAATGACCTGCAACATGGCCAATTTTATACAATTTTATAAAACGGCTCAGTGTGGTTTCAACTTGTATTCTCCTGGTTGACTATGAGGCTGGACCTCCCCTTAAAAGTACATTTACAGGGCCAGTGCTGTAGCGTAGCAGGTAAAGCTGCCACTTGTGGTACCAGTTCAAGTCCCAGCTGCTCCACTTCTGATCCATCTCCCTGCTGATGTGCCTGGAAAAGCAGCAGAGGACAGCCCAAATGCTTGGGCCCCTCCAACCAATTGGGAGACCTGGAAGAAGCTCCAGGTTCCTGGCTTCAGACCCGCCCAGCCCCAGCCATTGTGGTCATTTGGGGAATGAACCATGGATGGAAGATCTGTCACTCTGTCTCTCCCTCTCTCTCTCTCTCCATAACTCTGCTTTCAAATAAATAAATGCATCTTTAAAAAAAATACATTTACAGGGCCGGTGCTGTGGCATAGCATGTAAAGCTGCTGCCTGCAGTGCCGGCATCCCATATGGGCATGAGTTCGAGTCCCAGCTGCTCCACTTCTGATCTAGCTCTCTGCTGTGTCCTGGGAAAGCAGTGGAAGATGGCCCAAGTCCTTGGGCCCCTGTACCCACATGGGAAGATGTGGAAGAAGCTCCTGGCTCCTGGCTTTAGATCCACACAGCTCCAGCCACTGCGGCCAACTGGGGAGTGAACCAGCAGATAGAAGACCTCTCTCTCTCTCTCTCTCTCTCTCTCTCTCTCTAACTCTGACTTTCAAATAAATAAATAAATCTTTTTTAAAAAATACATTCACTATTTCATGTTACGCATTCTCTTACATTTTTGGTCCATCAATTTCTCTAATAATTACTATAAAGTCCTATTATGTGCCTGGTGCTATGTTAGAGGCTGGAGAAACAGCAGTAAACAAAACAAGACAAAATTTCAGCTCTCAAGAGGGAAAAGAATGAGTGAAAAACCACACAGACCATCAGAAGGTGCTAAGAGGAGTGAGAGAAAGACACTAGGAGTTAGGGAGCTCTGTGGTGAGGGTTCGGGGGCAGAAGCCTGCCTCGCTGCTGAAACAACACAGGGGAGAAGCACGGACGGAAGGGGGAGGGAAGAGCAAGAGCCATCAGAGCGTCTTCCAGACAGAAAGCTCAGCAAGGGCGAGGCCCTGAGGCCCACGTGGCTGGGGGCGATGCAGACAGAGGGCATGCGCTGAAAGGTGATGCTTCGCAGGCCGCTGCAAGCACTTGGACTTCTGGGACAGAGGAGTGAGGGGGAGCAGAAGTTCAAGGCTATCTTCTGGAGGAGAGAGGAGGAGGATAGGCAGTGGCGATGAGAAGCAGTAGATTCTGGCTCTAGTTTGAAGGCAGAGCCAAAGGATTTGCTGCTGATGCGGATGTAGGTGGATGCGGCCCAGGCTTCACCATGAGATAGGCTAGATGGCAGCACAGAGCGGCTAGGCGGCCTGGCGAAGCCGACGTTTGGCTTCAGATGTTCAAGGTTGGATGCTTGTTAAGACACCCAGAGAGGCAGGAGTCTCAGTGCGCACAGCCACTTGGGCTAGAGGCAGGCAGAGGGGACGCAGCAGCGTGGGGCGTGGGTGAGATCTCACGGCGGCGGGCAGCCTGCGAGGAAGAGGCTGGAGACACAGTGGGGGGAGGCCGACCCTCAGCTTAGGCCAGGCAGAAGGAGAATCAGCAGTGGACTTTCGGACTTTGGAAACGTGGCCTGGGGGGGAAGCGAGCATGGGAAGAGTGGAAACGTCCAGGGCACAGTCACAGGTGTCCCGCAGGCTTGTCCCGGAGGGTGGCGGAGGAATCCGGCGGCGGCAGGGGGCTGGGAGACAAGTGCTTCTCCAAGATGGCCTGCATCAGCACAAACGATGGCGATGGCGCAGCCAAGGCAGAGAAGGGCGGAGTGATGCCGAGTGGGTGAGGAAGGGGTGCCCCGAGAGGTGGATGGAGGGGCACCACAGTAACAGGAAGGCCCAGGGCACGGGAAGTGACAGCTGTCTTGTAGTGGAGCGAGCGGGGCATCAGCGGAGAGCGAGGACAGAAGAGGCGGGAGCAGAGGAAGAGAGAAGCCACGCAGAAATGAAGCTCTGGGGTGGGCACACGGTGCCGCAGCTGACCACTGCTTGAGCCGCCTGCATCCGAGCATCTCAGCTCTGGCTCCCGATTCCAGCTTCCTGAAACTGTGCACCCTGGCAGGCAGTGGAGACAGCTGAAGTATTTGGGTCCTTGCCGCTCATAAGGGAGACCCTAATGGAGTTCTGGCCTCCCGGCTCTGGTCTGGGCCAGTCCTAGCTATTGCGAACACTTGGGAGTAAACCAGTAGATGGGATATATCTGTCCTCAAATAAATAAGAACTTTTTATAACTTTACAAACATTTGTTTATTCGAAATGCAGAGTTACAGCGAGACAGAGATCTTCCATCTACTGGTTCACTCCCTAAATGGTTACAATAGCTGGAGCTGGGCTGATCTGAAGCCAGGTGCCAGAAATTTTTCCAGGTCTCCCATGTGCGTGCAGAGGCTCAAGCACTTGGGCCATCTTCTACCGCTTTCCCAGGTGCATTAACAAAGAGCTGGATTAGAAGTGGAGCAGCCGGGACTTGAAAAGGCGCACAAATAGGATGCTAGTGCTGCAGGCTTTGGCTTTCTCTCTCTCTCTTTGTAATTCTGCCTTTCAAATGAATAAATAAATATTAAAACAAGAAATACACTCAGTATGTCATTTTTAAAATCTGTATTTAGGGGCCAGCGCTGTGGCGTAGGAGGTAAAAGCACCACTTGCGACACCAGCGTTCCTTATGGTCACCAGTTCGTGTCCTGGTTGCTCTACTTCAGATCCAACTCCTGGTTCAGAATGGCCTGGGAAAGCAGTGGAAGATGACCCAAGTGTTTGATCCTCTGCTACTCATGTGGGAGACCTGGAAGAAGCTCCTGGCTCCTGGCTTCCACCTGGCCCAGCCCTGGTCCTTGTAGCCATCTGGGGAGTGAGCTAGCAGATGAAAAATCTTTCTGTCTTTCCTTCTATGTAGCTCCAACTTTCAAATAAACAAACAAATAAATCTTAAAAAACAGAAAAGCCAGCAAGCTGTGAAGCCATGGTGAAGGGCGGTGCAGAGGAAGGGCCCTGAGAGCGGCAGGAGTGCTGGGCAGGCCAGCACTGCACTGGGCACAGCAGTCCTGAGGCTCGAGAGACCGGCCTGCGCGACGGGGCACCCCCCAGCTGTACTTTGGCTACAGGTGCGGAGCAGGAGTGATTTAACCAGAGTTGAGGTTTGGCCAGGACAGTGTGGGAGAGAACAGAGTGTGTCGGTGAGGCAGAGGCTAGGGGACAGGCGAGGGGATCCAAGCTGTGGAGGGAGGCAGGCAGGCCCCAGGCATGGCGAGGACGTCGGTCTGACAGACGGATCATGGCGGGGGCACGTGAAGCTCCCCAAGAGGCCCGGCTGAAGACTCGAGCATTCAGAAGGCGGCTGCAGTGCTCAGCCCGGGGGAGGAAGCGCGGCAGTCGCTGCCACAGAAGTCAGGGTCCTGGTGCCTGAGGGGACGGCGAGGGGCGTGGGGGCTGGGCATCCGGGATACAGGCGGTGTCCCGCCTGGTGTCCATGTAGCTGCATGCGTGTTTGCTTTTTATTACCTCACGGAACCATGCATTTGTTTTGAACACATTTCTGTGTGTACTTTGTATGTCACACGGGGGGGGGGGGGGAGAGTTTTTTCTTTTGTTAAAGATCTAGAAAAAAATGCACACAATTTGGGAGAATTATTTCTGTCCAGAGCACCGACCAGCCAGCACACTAAGATTCACAAACAACAGGATCCAATGAGGCCTGAGGTGACAGGTGCAGAGGCTGGGGGCAGTGAGTCACTGAGTCTTTACCAGGTACCACAAAGCTGACCCAGCAGTAACAGACTCCTTTGTTTCATCCTCTTCTCCCACCAAACACAAACCCTTAAAAGCAAGGATCAGTGCTGCCACTCCCAGCAGCAGAAAGTACAGAGGACAGACGAGTGGCCCTAGAGCCCGGCAGGGACAGCAGAGCCAGGCTTGGGCTCTGGATAGTATCTCAAGGGGGCGAGGGGAGCACAGATGGAAGAAGATGGAAGCTCTTTGGACCAAAGAAGTAAGACTTCCCAAGAGGTGCCGGGGCACCAACAAAACCCTGAGAGTGGCCCGAGGATTCCAGCCCCAGGCCAGGAAGAGAATGAGACCCACCGCCAAGGCACAGGTGCCCTCACCTTGTTCTTCTCGGCGAGTTGCTGCTCCAAGTCCTGCTTCTCCTTCTGCAACTGCCCTAGCTCCACAGCCCCCACCTCACCATTTGGCGTTCCTTCGGTGGCTGCAAGCTGGTATGCAGGGTCTTGCGTGGCTTTCACGCTCACCTAAAGGGTGGGGATGGCTGGTTGAGAGGCAGGACGGCAATACTGAAGCTCAGCTGCAGGTGAGTGGGGAGAGGAGCAGGCTCATCTCACAGGTGTGGCCTGGCGCGCGGGGACAGGCAGCTGGCTCGGAACCACAGGTAAACTATGGCGAAGGCCCATGCCCACGGACAATACCAGCCCTGCACCCTGCTGCCACACGCAGTGGTCCGGCTGGGACTTACGCGCAGTTCGCGGGGCTCCTGGCCCTGCAGCCCCAGCAGGTCCTCGCGGGCCGCAGCTTCCTCTGCCCTCAGGCTCCGCAGGGCCTCCAGCTCACTCTGCAGCTGGTGCAGCTGCAGCAGCGCAGACTCCTGGCCTAGGGTGGGCGGAGGCAGGCGTGCAGCGTGAGCCCAGGGCTCTCCCGCGGGGTGCGCTGGGGCCAGCTCAGGCGGGCACGCCGGCCTGGCCAGGGGCTGCCTCTCACCTTTCTCCAGTGCCAGAAGATCCTGCTCCTTCTGCAGCAGCTCCTCGGTTTTCTCCTGCAGACTCTGCTCCTTCTCGTCCATCAGAGCTGTCAGGTGGGCGGCCTTGGAGGAAGCGGGGTGAGGGAAAGCCTGTGTCCTGGATCCCAGCTCCCTGCCAGCAAGCTCTGCCCATCCATCACCCAGGGCCCCCGAAAGCCTCCTGGAAGGCCGCAGGCAAGCTAACCCCTGCTCCTGTACATGTGCCCAAGTCCGTTCTCCCTAGCACAGGGATGAACACCTCATTGTCCCCTGGCCCACAGCGGGCCAACCAGCGGCCAGCTGCCCAGACTTCCGACACTGCGTCACAGCCTGCCACACACCCCACACCCGGCGGGCGTTTCAGACCGAGTCGCTCAGGGCAGCATTCCAGAAGGTGTGCTTATCCTTTTCAGAGGCTACTCTGACTCAGATCTGTGAAAGACTTAGCAAAGCCCGGAGCCAGGTAACCAGGAGCTGTGAGGCCAGACGCTAGGCCTACCATCCAGGAAGACTCTTCCCACACTTCCTGCTGGAGCTCAGCCCACTTATGTGAAGCCTTCGTGGTCTGTGGGCAGCGCTGGCCCCCTTACGGCAGGAGAGTGCAGGAGGTCGGTGACATGGCCTGTCCCACAGGGAGCATCTAACACCGGACCCCAAGGCAGCAGAGGGCGTCCCATGTGGTGCAGCTTCTTTAGAGCAGTCCCCTCCTGCCCCCCCCACCCCCGCCTCCTGGAGCAGGTCCCCCCCCACCTCCTAGAGCACGGGGCACCACAGCTGCCTGTGGTCCAGACCGGGTCCACGTGAACCGCTGCTCTGACCAGAAGGGGGCGCTCCAAGTCAGTCCCCTGGGGGCAGGCCTGGACCCCCACCTTGCCTCAAACAGGGCCCACCTGTTGCTGGAACTCTTCCCTTTGCTTCCGCACCTCCTCCAGGGCTTGGGCCATGGCCACACTCACAATCTCTCTTTGGCTCCATTCTTCCTACAATCCAGAAGAGAGGTAGGAGAGACAGCCCCACACCAGGTGACACCCTTTTAGCCGCAACCTCACACGCAGCCTTGCAGGGTTACAGGAAACCCTTCCCGCGGCCCAAGATGCCATGGCTGCCTGCTAGGCTCGAAGGCACCTGTGTCCTCCGGACAGCCTTCCAGCTTCTTGGCAAAGGGCACACCACTGAGGGTCAGCTTCCTGTGAGCACACTAGCCAGTACCCAGGCCAAGGCCAAGGGGAGAGACGTAGGCCCATGAGAACAGGAAGCTGGCCCGGGACAGCTGGGTCACAGGGAAATAAGCACTCATTGACTTTTCATAGGGCCGAATGTCACTAACTCATAAGAATTAGCCCATTTCATAGGAGAGAACACAGAGGTTCTGAGAGGTTAAGTGATTTGCCCAAGGTCCTAGAGCTAGGAAGTGGCACAGCCACACTGAAAGTCAGTGGCAGTCCAACCTCAGAGGCAGAACCTTTGGATACCAGAGCCCCTGGCCCGAGCGGTCTCGACCAGGAACAGGGCTGCCTCACTGGCCTTCTGCCGGGCACAGGACTGCCTCCAGGACAAACACACGGTCATCCTCCAGCATGCTGAGGCCATGCTGCAGCGCCAGCACCCGGACGTCTGATTTCTCAGGTGCTGGACACTGCTCACAGAGAAGCCCTGGATTGAATGTGGTGATGTGTGTGGCCTCTCCACCCAGAACCCCTCTCTCTTTTTGGTAAGAGCCTCATTGTTCTTGGTCCTGACTCCTGCCCTGAAATTGCACATGGTCTGGCAGCGCTGCGATACTGATACCCTGATTTTGCGGAATGTGACTTAGACCTGGCTCATCACAGCATCTCATCTTTTTTTCCTGTTGTTAAAGTTTATCTTGGGGCCGGTGCTGTGGCACAGAGGTTCATCCTCCACCTGTGGAACTGGCATCCCATATGGGTGCTGGTTTGAGTCCCAGCTGCTCCACTTCTGATCCAGCTCTCTATCATGGACTGGGAAAGCAGTAGAAGATGGCTCAAGTGCTTGGGCCCCTGCACCCGCGTGGGAGACCCGGAAGAGGCTCCTGGCTCCTGGCTTCGGATCGGCACAGCTCCAGCCGTTGCAGCCAATTGGGGAATGAATCAGTGGATGGAAGACCTCTCTCTCTCTCTCTCTCTCTCTCTCTCTCTCAGCCTCTCCTTCTTTCTCTGTGTAACTCTGACTTTCAAATAAATAAATCTTTTTTTTTTTTTTTTTTTTTTATCTTATTAACCATTAGCTACCTATCTATCTGAAAGGCCAAATGACAGAGAGAGGAGACAGAATCTTCCATATGCTGGTTCACTCCATAGATGGCCACAACAGCTGGGACTGGACCAGACCGAAGCTGGTGTCTGGTGTCTGGGGCCTGGTGTCTAGGGTGGGAAGCAGACTCATGTCAGCTCCATCCTGGAGAACTGCACTTGCTGCTTCTAATCCAGTCATGTTTGGTCCCAGAGAAATCCTCTTGAGGTCAGGGCTTACCAGCTTCCACTCCGAACCCCCAAGAATCAGCCAGTATAGAAGTGGGCCTTTGGCTTAGTGGTTAAGACACCTGCATCCCACATCGGAAAACCCAGGTTTGACACCTGGCGCTGGCTCCCGATTCCAGCCTCAGGCTAATGCAGACCCTGGGAGAGAGCAGTGATGGATCAAGCAATGAGTCTCTGCTACCCACCAGGGGCACGTGGATTGAGTTCCTGCCTCCTGGCTGTTGTGGGCATTTGAAGGGGGAACCAGTACATGGCAGACCTCTCTCTGTTTGCCTCTCTCTCTTTCTCAAACAATAAAAATCAGCCAGTGAGGGACTAGGCTGGCACAGGGGACAGGACATATGTGTCTCTAAGTCTGCTGCATCCTAGCACTGTGGCACAGGTTAAGCTGAAGCCTGCAATGCTGGATCCCTCATCAGAGTACCAACCCTGGCTGCTCACTTCCTACCCAGCTTAATGCTTGTGCACCTGGGAAGGCAGTGGAAGATGGTCAAGTACTTGGACCCCTGCCACAAACGAGGGAGACCCGAATGGAGTTCTGGGCTCCTGACTTTCAGTGCTGGCTGTTGCAGCCATCTGAGGAGTGAATCAATGGATGGAAGATCTCTGTCTATCCTCTCTGTAACTCTGCTTTTCAAATAAATAAAATAAATCTTAAAAAAATAAATAAGACTGTGCTGGTGCCACAGAGCTCCCTAAGACCCCTGGGACCGAGGTGGAAGGCTCCAGGCCAGATCTGCTCAGCAGAAAGCATGGCCTATACTTTGCATGAGCTGCAGGCCACCTGCACACAGCAGCTCTCTCACTTAGGGATGCGCCTGGCAGGAGCTCACAGAACATCTGTTTTGAGAAATATGGATAAAACTATTCTAAATACATATGCACCTAATTACAGTGCTTCAAAATACATGAGGCAAAGACTGACAGAACTAAAGGAGAGACAAGGGCCGGTGCCGCGGCTCACTAGGCTAATCCTCCGCCTAGCGGCGCCGGCACACCGGGTTCTAGTCCCGGTCGGGGCGCCGGATTCTGTCCCGGTTGCCCCTCTTCCAGGCCAGCTCTCTGCTGTGGCCAGGGAGTGCAGTGGAGGATGGCCCAGGTGCTTGGGCCCTGCACCCCATGGGAGACCAGGAAAAGCACCTGGCTCCTGGCTCCTGCCATCGGATCAGCGCGGTGCGCAGGCCGCAGCGCGCCGGCCGCGGCGGCCATTGGAGGGTGAACCAACGGCAAAGGAAGACCTTTCTCTCTGTCTCTCTCTCACTGTCCACTCTGCCTGTCAAAAAAAAAAAAAAAAAAAAAAAAAAAAAAGGAGAGACAAAGCCATGATCGTAGCTGACTTAGCACATTCCTCTCAGTAACTGACAGAACAAGCGTGCACACACACACACACACACACAGAATATGCAGAAGGTTTGAATAATACTATCAACCAATTTGACCTAGTTGGCATTTACAAAATACCTATCAGCAGAGGACAAATATTGTTTTCAAGTGCAATGAAATATTGATCAAGACACACTACAGGCTGGGTCATAAAATCCGTCAATAAAAGAACTGGGGGGGTAGGGGGTTTGGCGTTGTGGTGTAACAGGTTGAGCCTGTGATGCCAGCATTCCATATGGGTGCCAATTTGAGTATCAGCAGCTCCACTTCCAATCCAGCTCCCTGCTAATGGCCTGGGAAAGCAGCGGAAGATGACCCAAGTCCTTATGCCCCTGTACTTCAACGGGAGACCTGAATGAAGCTCCTGGGTCCTGGCTTTGGCCTGCTCCAGCCCTGACCATTATGGCCACTTAGGGGAGTGAACCAGCAGATGGAAGGTCCCTCTCTCAGTCTCTCTCCCTTTCTGTGACTCTGGCTTTCAAATAAAATAAATAAATCTTTTTTTTTTTTTTTTTTTTTTGACAGGCAGAGTTAGATAGTGAGAGAGAGAGACAGAGAGAGAAAGGTCTTCCTTCGTTGGTTCACCCTCCAGATGGCCGCCATGGCCAGCGCTGCGCTGATCCGAAGCCAGGAGCCAGGTGCTTATCCTGGTCTCCCATGGGGTGCAGGGCCCAAGCACTTGGGCCATCCTCCACTGCCCTCCTGGGCCACAGCAGAGAGCTGGCCTGGAAGAGGAGCAACCGGGACAGAACCGGCGCCCCAACCGGGACTAGAACCCAGGGTGCCGGCACCGCAGGCGGTGAATTAGCCTAGTGAGCCACGGCGCCGGCCAAAATAAATAAATCTTAAAAAAAAATGAATTGAAACAATTCAGAGTACTGTCTGACCAAAATGGTACTGAACTCCAAATATCAAGGAAAATTCTCCAAACATTTGACAATTAGCCACACATTTAAAGTCTGTTGTGCTGGCTTCTGAGTCAGTGCCTCTTGGTCTGTACTCGGTAAAGCAGGGCTCAGGACTTCGCAAACCGTATCCGCTCTCTTTCTGCAGGTGCAGGTGAAGTGGAGCTGGACGGAGACGTGAGGGCGAGGGTGGGAGAGAACACGCCCTGCCCCTCCTGCCGGCTTCCTGCGGCATCGGTGAACGTCACTTCAGCACTCCTCTGGCAGCAGCCATGTTTTCCTGAAGCAGCTGCTACATCCATGTGGAGCCAAACCCATTCACTGGCTCATCCCGAACACGCTCACCAGTGCCAGGTCTGTGTCAAGTCTGTGGAGCTCTGTTTCTCATTCCCAAATTTAGTAATTCCAATTTCTTCACTGTGTTCCCGTAGTCCTGCATTTGGAAGCTTCCTGCCATGCCGCCTTCCTGACGTCACTGTTCTGGGACCAGCTGAAAACTTCACATTAGAATACCTGTTCTTGGCTGGGTACTTCTTGCAGGGGTTAAGCTGCTATTTGGGATGCCTGAATCCCATTTTAGAGGGCCTGGGTTCAAGTCCTGGCTCCGTACCTGATGCCAGCTTCCCAGGAATGTATACCCTGCCAGGCAGCAGGTGATGGCTCAAGTATTTGGGTTCCTACCACCCATGTGGAAGACCTGGATTGAGTTAACTGGCTCCTGGCTTCAGCTTGGCCCAGTCCTGGCTGCTGCAGACTTTCAGGGAGTAAACCAGGAGATGTGTGATATCTGTCTGTCCCTCTGCTTTTCAAACATATAAAATCAATGTTTTCAGAAGTTGGTTTTTTTTTAATCATATATTCTGAAATACCTGCAGTTCCTACCTTCTGACTGGACCATGTATGACACTGCAGGGGTTGGATTTTCTGTTTCTTCTGTCAGTATAATAGTTTCCTACTGTTGCTGTAACAAATTACTTCGACCTGACTTAAAACAGAAATTTATTATCTCACAGTTCTAGAAGCCAGAAATCTGCATGGACTCTAGTGGGGCTAAAACAAGATGTTAGAGAGACAGGTAAGAGAGAGGTCTTCCATCTGCTGGTCATTCTCCAAATGCCTAGCACAGCCAGGTCTGGGCCAACCCAAAACCCAGGAGTCCAGAACTTAATCTGAGTCTTCCAGATGGGTGGCAGG